GTCTTCAAGATTAGGTCCTAATACTCATCTTCAGTCTGCTGTCTCAACAGCCAACCCAGGAACAAACATCTTGTTGATTTTTAGCATTAATTGGATCAAAGTATAGTTTTCCCAATCCTATAATAGTTGTCATGACTATGGGGATTTTTTTAGCTTTTAAAAATCATTACAGTATTTTTATTCTGTGCCATGTATCTTTTCATTGGCTTGCACGTTATGAAGGGTTAAGGGACAAACAACTTATGCACTCCCCCAAACAAAAAACTATAAATATTTAGACTGGAAATGCCAACAGATAATTGTTTTTCTTTGAGGAGAAAAAACACTTGATTTACTTCTGCTGGATTTTTGTTTTGGCAGATTTCCCGCAGTATGCTAAGAAGAGATGAAGAAGAAGAGGAGGAAGATGAGGATGAGGAAGAGGAGGATGAGGAGGAAGAATTTGATGCTACTAAGGAAGTGAGATAACAAAGCTATTCTAAGAGAGGGTTTTTATTAAGGGGGAAAAAATCCCTTTACCTAAAGGCTTTTGTGTGTTGATCAAAAATTTCACTGAGGCTGTATATTTAAAATTCTAACAGGAACAAGCACTAATTCTAGAGTGCCAGACAAAAAATGACCAGTTTCAAAGAATGGAACAAAATCTGCTGAAAATGGACAATTTCAGTAGCTAGAAAATGAAATATTTAAATAGAATCCTGTATTATATTTGCATAAATATTGTATTGCAGTCATATTTGCTTAAACTTACATGAACAGTGTCCAAAAACTGCACTAAGCTGACAAGCAGTTATGAACATAAGGGTTTGCTTGTAACTTTGCCAATATATTACCTTATTCTCTAGCTAAACACCTCTTCCATTTAGTAAGTCCTCTAGCTGTACCTGTCATGACTGGGTTTATATATCCTAAATGAACTGTAGTAATCAAGAAACTGTTTGCAGCAACAACATGTTAAGATTTCACTTTGTTACGCACCTTGGATGGCAGAAGGCAGGGTGAGGTGTATTGTTTTCTTGTTTTCATTTTCCTCAGGCTTTCCTCAGGCTAAGATGACTTGATTCCTTTACACATAGAGAATCAATGCTCACAAATAAGGACCGAGCCCAGTATCTACGTTTATTGCTGCTTTGCTTTTAAATAAAAGTGCCTTCATGATAAAACTAGTGGATATTTTATGTAGTTGATGTTTATTATATTAGTTGATATGCTATAGAGTTCAAATTTCATGTGCTTAACTACATGATTCAGTTACTGATTCCATCAAACATACAAGAAATTACACATTTTGAGTGTAATTTCTTATTCTGTTTGGAGATGGTGATACACATGTTCATTTTTTAACAGTGTACAGTTGTCTGCCAGAAAGCCACTACCACACTGTTCATCTCCAGCTTTAGTTAAAGAGCGAACGCATGCATAAATATAGAATTTAAACTTGTCACTAGGAAAAAAATTTCAAGTTATGGAAATAAACCAAAAAGTGCATTTATAGTATTGATGCATACCTATTCTGATGTGAAAAAACAACTTTTGCCAAAATTAATGTGATGGAAATATAAGTGAAAATGTCACAATAAAAGGTTCTGTTTTAAACCCAGAAAATAATTTTACACCAGAATTACATACTATTGACATTGTACAACTGTTGACAAAGAGTAAATACAAATGAGCACAACTTTAAAACTATCTAGGTAACCAATTCCCATCTATTTCAGCAGCTAAGGCACTTCAATAAATATTTGTATCACAACATCAGAATTATGGTGGTCACCACTTTACCATTTCATACTCAATGAAGTAGTCCATCTCCAAAACAGATGGCCAACTTCATAACAATACTAGGCTTTCATATCATATACATACATGCAAACAGTGATTGTGTACTATGCCTTGAGAAAGGAATGCTGAAAAAAGGCAGCCATGTTTAATTAATTCCCCCCTAAAACATTAGTAGCTAGGGTAAGAATGAGGGGTTTGTTTTCCTGAGCAGCTTCAAATTCCTTCTCACTACCTCACAAAAAAGTCAACTTCAGGAATTACAGGAAAACTTCCAGAACAGGAGAAATAGAGTGTTGGGCAACTTTGTCCTGCATGTATGATGTCTTAGGTTTGCACGTTGCACAGCACTTGTGTGACCTTGAAACTACAGATGAAAAGTCCCTGATTAAAATACTTTAGAACCAGAAGAATAATTTAGAATGTAATTACAGAATTAAAAGATACTTCTGCAAAGATTTTTTTTGTGGCATAAGTGCTTGCTGCAAGACTGACATTTCTCACTCACATGTATTTTTGACTACTAACACCTAGATGATGCAGGCTTGTATCAATCTTGCTAAGAATATTTTGCCACTCTGTTGAAAATGCTGGCACATTCCTTTTGGGATTAAGGGTTATCTTCTTGTACTAACCAGACTGTGCTGTTACAGCTTCCCTGAACGCCTCAAGCTGCTTTGGTAGGTGATCACTATTTCTAATTCTTGACAATAGAGACTGTTCTCCTTTACACCAGAATTTTTGGACAATGGTAGCAAAAGCAACTTCAGAGAAGGCATAACTAAAGAAACTTGCTGTGTTTTATCAACGTCACAAACTGCAGCATTTCATTTTTTGTTCTTTTACTATGTGGATGGTACTTAAAAAGAAAGAACAGTACTTCAAGCCATGTAATTATAAGATGGCTTCTGATTTGTCCATTGTACCAAAAGTACAGTGCCTTCAAGCCACTAAACATCTAAAGTTATATAACCCTATTATCAGGAAATGCTGCCACCACACCATGCACCTGTACCACCTATTCAGGCAGAATCAGAATATAATGCCTATACATACACATCTCAGTGGAGGAGAAGGGGAACAGAGAAGGACAGACACACACAGAGGCAAAGCACCAATCAGATAACACCTATAAACTAAGAATCAACTATCCTAGTAACCTTATTATTTCACTGATACACTGGCATCCCTTCCCAATTTCCCTATGCTTCAAGTTCATCTGTACATACTTTGAAGTACAGTTTTTGTATTTATAGACCTTGAAAAAATAATTATTTCTTTGGCCTGTCAATCAAACATTTCAGATAAACTAGTCATAAACTCTATTCTGGCTTTAAATTAAATACAAATTAGCTACAGAGCAAACAGAAAACCATTTTGAAATGCCTCAATTATGACCTCTGCCATTACAAGCTTTATGATTCTTTTTTATATGTTCACTAAGGGTGGGGGGGGAGTTTACCATCCCAAAAATTAATGGTATTTTATCAGTAATTACTCTTAAATTCTTTGAGAACAGGTGTTATTTTTAAAAGACATTCTCATGCTTTACTGGCAGAAAAACCTACTAAACTCTCCTGTCTTTCCGGCCTCCAAGTTTGAAATACCCTGTTGTGTAGTAGCTGGAAGAACTTTAAAACCAGCAAATGACCTAAAGCTGACTAACTGGAGAAGTTACTTGCATTCATATTTACAACACAGCTTAGTAGTAAAGACACTGGCTTACAAAAATAATCACAATGAAGTTTTCAACATAATGATAACGTCAGGGAAGTTCATTTTGAGGATTCTCATGTCTTTTACCTGCAAAGTCTTCTGGCTCCTTGATCTCTTTCATAGTAGCTAAAGCACAACTTTGTGGGTTTTATTTTAATGCCCTTTAAATTTACAGGATTCAAAACCATATGATTCTGAAGCTAATTCCTACCAGACAGCAAAAAACTGTATATTAAGTGTTCAGAATTTAAACTTAGCCACATTTTTTTTCTTTGCTACATACACAGACCTTGCATTTTCATTCAAAATTCTTTTTTCTGGGCACTTAAAATAGAGAATAATATGCAGAGGAAATAAAGCTACACTAACCTTTTAAAAATTACAGAACAAAAAATTCTCTTGATTTTGTTTGCTTGTACTTAACAGTTTATTTGCAAGTTTAGCAATTACGATGATGACTTTACATAAATAAAGCAGTTAAAATTTGACCCACCAGTGAGGGGGATCAACCACAGGCTGCCCAGAGAGTTCCGTTCTTGGAGCTATTAAATACTGAAGGCCTTGAGTAACCTGATCTAGCGGACACTGCTTTGAGGAAGGGGTTGGACTAGAGACCTCTCTACTCCATGAATTTATGATTTTTTGTATTGCCCAAGCAAAGGTTAAAAGTTTTCACTGCCAAGTTGCAACTTTGCTGTCCTAGTCTGAGGGGACTAAAATTCATGAAATTCTTTAGTACTCCAAATACTATCTTGTACAGTTGCAATGTGAACAAAAATCCTTACCCACGCAACCAAAGTTTCCAACTAAGCCTGAATTTTGAACATGCAGCTTTTCCAGGCTAGCTTTTATTTCTTCCTAAAATTTAAATATGGTGGTACCAAACCAATCTAACCAACATATTCTAAATGCTGACATAAGCATTTATTTTATTACAAAAGAAAATAACATAGTTGGTTGGCAGCTTGGTTACCATGACAGATGTTAGTTAAAACTAATCAGAGATTGACCTGGAGCGTATCCAAACATCATCAGCAAGCTAGTATTCACATTATGCAGCATGTGGAGATAAAATGAAGACCACTGAATCAGAATTCTTGATCTGATTTCAACATTCATTTTCTGCCTCAAGTTACTACAGCGAGTGAGAAGAAAACCTGTCCAACTCATTAATACAGACTGAAATCTCTGTAAACTAACTACCTTTTCTTCACTGTGTTGACAAACTGTAACAGTTCACTCTTCCCAGAGGAAGTAGACAGCATCAATCTCACCAAGACCCACATCTGCTGAGCATAATAGTTGAAACCATTAACTATCCAAGTTTTAAATAGAAGACACACATTTAAATGGCAATTTCCTTTTTATTAAAAAAAAATTGCAAAGCCAGCTAATGTGAACAGGAAGCTCTTTTTTCTTTTTTTAACAGAAACGCCTGCAAACACATGAAACCGAATAAAACCTGAAGTTTACACAAAAACAAAACCCAAAAAATAAAAATCATTCATCTTTTAAGCTAACCTCAGTAAGAAGTGTTATTTACTAATGCAGGTAGCACTGAAAATCTTCTATTTGAACCATTTGCGTGGTCAGTCAACCAGCATTTATATTTTTATTTGATGCAAAGACAGAGGACATGAAATTAAAACAAACTAAAAAAAACCCCAAAGCATTACAACTCCATCCCTTTAGACCTTGATGTGTGACTTCCAGTGTCCTACAAACATTTCAACCAAGAGCTAAACAACTGAACCGGGTATTATTTACAACCGTTCATGGAAACTGTTTCTTTTGGATGTTCCAGGAATTAGAAAAAGTTAAAATAACTGTCAATACTGTCAAACCGAGAATGTTTTACTATAGAGCATCTTTTCCTCCTTTACAGCAAGCTCAACTTAACTTTCCGTGGACCAATCGGCCTATCATTCAGTTCATTAATAGCAGCCATAGCCTCCTCATAGTTTGTCATAGCAACAATGGCATCACCAGAAGGTAATCCTTGTTCATTGTACTGCACAGAAACTGACTCCGGAATCACTCTGTAGCCATAGAAAAAATCCAGAATCTCATTAGGAGTAGCTTTAAAAGGTAAATTTTTCAATAGAATAGGAACAACACGTTCAGAACCACCACTGAAATTCGGATCCGGCATGAATCTTCCTTCAGGAAAATTTCCCATTTTATTATTCCCAAACTCCATTCTGCCGAAAGGTTCACTGTCACCACCGAAATCCATGAGGGGTGGTGGACCTCTAAAATCCTTAGGAGGGCCCATGAAGTCCTCAGGGGGGTGTCTAAATTCAGAATGATGCCTGAAGTTCCCGGGGGGACCAAATGAATGCATGGGTGGCCCTTGTGGTGGCCCAGATGGTGAACTGACTGGACGGGAAAGCTCACCTCTGTCATATGGATGTGAATAACCATGCACTTGATTCGGTGCAGATAATGGTACAGATACACCAAACTTCTGCATCTGCTCTTCAGATATAAGTCTTATTAATACCTCTGTTCCCAAAAATGTTTGACGATTTAAATTTTCAGCTTTCATGGCTTGTTCTTCAGATTTAAACTTCACTAGTGCTTCTCCCAGTCCAAGTCCTTTTTCATCATAGAGTAAATAAATATCATCTTCATCAATATCAAATCTTGCAAAGAACTTTTGCACTTCAATTTTTGACACATCAAATGGAAAATTCCTGACATAAACACATATCTTAGGGCTGGAATGACCTTCCCGGTAACTTTTTTCTGATATAGCCTGTCCAGGATGATCTCTGTCTAGTGATCTTTTTCTCTCACAAGAATCGATTATTTTCAACATTGACTTTCTTGAAATTGGAAAAATGTAAACAGGACGATTGAGAAGAACCTTTCTATGACATTCCAAAGCAGCCTGGTATTCTCTCTCACTCCTTAACATCACAAAGGCATCTCTAGTCCTTTTCTGATGCTTATCTGTTAGAATCTTGATCTGTTTGCTGGATATATCCAGATCAGGGAAAAAATCTCTCAAATCTCTCTTCTCCACATTAAAAGATAGATTTCTTAAGTGTATGTAATATTCCTGGCTGGGAGATGAACGAGAACGCGTTCTTTGTCTCCTTGGTGATCTTGAACGAGAATGCCTCCTTGAATGCATGTAGCCTGAACTTTTTGGAGAAAGGTCTTCACAGAAAAAGTGATCCATTTCATCTGGCACATCCACCGTCCCACCACATTCAATCCACCGTTCCTCCGTAGTTGGACTAATTTCTATAAACCTCTGACCCATGTACTGTCTATGACGTTTAAGTCCTTCCAAGGCATCACCAGGTGTAGCACATTTTACCAAGCAATCACCATTGTTTAAACCATTGCGGTGCTTTATCAGAATCACTCCATCCACACGTATCCCAGAAAGGAAAGCACGTACTTCCACTTCTGTTGCAGCGTAAGGTATACCACGTAGAAATAAGTAACAGTCATCTGGGTTAAATGGGTGAGAATCCTTTCTTAACTGATAGTTTGACTTATGTATACCCATATCACCGTGTCTTGTGCCATTGGTATGGAAACCAGCCTCTAGGCGATTTGGTGGCCCGTAACCAGGTTTTCTTATTCCTTTTGGAGAAGCTGTGACTAAATGTGGCATGTCTCCAACACTTGATGCACCAGAACCATTAGTACCTGTTCTTCTAGAGCTAGACATAGTTTCTCGTCCCCCACGGTCAAATCGTTTCCGGCTCATTTCTATGGTACTCTGCATTTCTGCCTTGCTGCTGAGAAAGAGCTCTACGCGTGAGTCCTTGATAAACCCTCCTGAACAGCTCATGGCACGCCGTGCATCTTCATCTGTTGCAAATATAATAAAAGCCTCCCCAAGCTCTCCTCCAATAATATGCACACCTCCATCAGGAATATTCAATCCCAAGAAGAAACGACGAATATCTGGAGGACCCGCAACAACAGGAAGCCCCTGTAAACGGATGACTACAGCCATGCTGAGCTCAACCCACAGCAAAAATCACCTGCAGACAAAAAGGTACACATGATAGCACGTCTTTAGTACTCAGCTATTACAGTATCTTATCATTTAAGAAGCTAGAGCCGTTTTAATGAATGCCCTTGTCTCAATCGAGAGAGAAGGTATCAAAACACCCACAAGTTCACAAGAACAAGATTAAAACACAGTTCACTGAATGTTGATTAGTCAGAACAATCAGCTACTCCACCAGCACACGTGCACAAATCTATCAATATTCCCTATCCTAAGGGCAACAAAATCCACCTAAGTCATTCCTCACCATCCACAATACCTAAAGAACACATCAAGTCTTTCATGGCATAGTGACTATATGCCAGAGATCTCTGCCCAGTCCTAAGGAACAAAAAAATCCTGTTTCCTTTTGAACAGGACACTAGTTGATAAAAGGAGAAAGGAAAAAGAATAACTATGTCATTGAAAATGACATAATTCACAAACAGTGATGCCTTTACTGCTTTGACAAGTTGCTCTACCCAGTGATCAGTTCTGTTCAGTAATGTATGTTTTCTCAGCATTCAAAGAAGTTGTCTCTTTGACGTAGTCAGAGTATTAACTGCAGCAGCCACGAGCACTCAGGAGAGCATATCCTAGTTCCCAGCCACAAGTACGTGAGGAAAAAAGGCTGTGTATGATCTTGTCACAATACTCACTGAGAAGTGTTAAGCTTTTGGCAGCTTACCTGTTTCTGCTTTGGAGACCTGATAAATTCTGTAAAATCAACTTAACTGTGGAAAGAAAATGAAACATAATTAATGGCTGATACCTGTACTTTGCTTTACATACTGCGCTACACTGCTGCAGCTCATCCATAGCAGTGGCTACACTAAAGCCAAACATGTTATGAACCCATGTGAAGAACTCCTTCCACGTTCCAAGATGCTATGCACTGCATCTTTGTGTTTCCATTTCAGAAGCAAAAGAAATTCAAAATTTAAGTTGACTTCTGGAAACGATGAAAATACGATGAGATTACTTGGTCATTGGTTGTGCCACACTGAACTGTTGCAGTGAAACAGACTGCCAGTGTATCGAGGGAACAACTCTCAACTGAGTCCTTGAAGGATCCTTAAGTCCATCTCATGATTAAAGGACGTGTCCATTCTTCTGAGATCCACCTGGTTTCAAGGTTCACAAGAGTACGCTACTCACCAGTCCAGCACTACACTTAATGTACACAGCAAAGACCATCAAATGACAGAGCAAAATATCCAACAAGGACAAACTTTGGAAAGTACCTGAATTTACAAAGCCAACTTCAGTATTTTCCCTGTATCTTTACTGTACTGCACTGCTGTTCACACACAAGAACAAGAAATGCTCTACTGCACTGACTTAAACATACCTTGATTTTCAACATTATCTAACATCACAAATAAATAGCACAGTACTCTGAGAAAAAACACAAGCTTCTGTAGCAAATTACTGCATCCCTTTAGAACAAACACAACAGCCCAACACTCCAAGCATTTGACAAATCCCTCCTACAAACCAAAACCCTTGCTCAAAGCACCAGATCCTGGTGACAAGTCGTCTATCAATAACTGTAACTGTCACTCCAACTGAACTTAGCAAAACAAGAACAAAGTCCAAATTCTCTAACTAATGGGTTTTATGTCACTTCTACATCACCACTTTGCAAGCACAACAGAAAACAACTGCCTATTTAGTAACTTCTCTAAAGACCATCTGTTCTCTGTACTTTTGTGGCAAGTCGACTCCAGCCAGCAGCCAAGCACCCACACAGCCAATTGTGCACTCCTTGTCCCCATCAGCAGGACGGGAAAGAAAATAGGAAGAACAAAGTCAAGAGAACTCGTGGGTCAAGTTTCATCAGTGAGGAGAAAAATGCAAAACAAAGAAAATCACTCATTACCTCCTACAGGCTGACTGATGTCCAGCCTACCTTCAAATAACAACTGCCTTGGGAGCCAAGAAAAAATCCCCTCAGGCAACCAAAACCATCAAAATATTTCTTCCTCTACCTCAGTTTTTGTTGCTGAGCATGACGTTACATGGCACGGAATATCTCTTTGGTGAGTTTGGGTCAGCTGTCCCAGCCATGTCCCCTCTCAGCTTCTCACCTATACTCAGCACACTCGCTGGAGTGGCAGAGTAGGGAAAAGAGATAAAGCCTTGACACTGTGCAAGCACTGTTCAGCCACAGCCCAAAACACTGATGCGTTGTCAACATTCTTTCAGCCACAAATCCAAAACACTGAACTGTATGGGCTGTTGTGAAGAACATTAACTCCGTCCCAGCCAGACCCAGAACTTTACGTCTCTTCTCAACAGATGCAACGGCAGTGCCAAAAAGCATGGAGAATTCAAGGGCAGAACTTTCATACAGCACCGTCGTGTCTTGAAAAACCAAATCCATTGCCCTCCTACTTCATGATGTATTTAATCTGTAGTACTCCTGGATTTCACAACTCCACATTCTTATCCCAATTTTTAAACATCATTCACAACAGCTCTCCTTCGTATTTCTTTGGTGATAAAGAGCAAGTTCTCCACGATGCACCAGGGACACAACACACAACCTTCAGCGGTGAAAACTAGACACAGTGATTCCAGATCATGTGATCTCTAAGAAGTTCACAAACAAAAATGCAAGTTCAAATAATAAGTTCTTACTGACTGGATATTAAACAATCAAGCGTGGGTAGAAAGTACAGACAAGCCATCCAACAATTTAAAGTGAATGACCAAAAGCAGTGATTTGTCATGAAAAGTAAGACCAATTCATTAACTCAGCAGAGACTCAGAGAGCAAGGATTTGGAGAACAGATTGACAACTTCATGCCACCAATTTAAAAGCACAGAAGCAAACACAGTTTTATGAAATTTTATATTTAAACAAAGCTGACCAGAAAACACTACTATACCTATTCTTCCACAGCCTCGACAAATTTGAAATACCATTAAAGCCATTAAAATAAGCCCACAACTTGTAAACACTGTGGGAAACTAAGCCTGCACTAGACCAGTATTTTAACCACAACGTTCAGAGATTACATTATCTGTATGCAAGCTAGAAACAACATACGCAGAAACACTCTGACTATAAACTGGACCAATATAAAAATAACCGGTAGATCAGAAGAAGATTTCTTATTCTGTTCTTCAAAATAAGCCTACACAGTGGAAGCAGGCTGCTGCTAATGGCACTCTGCACATTGCTGGAGGAAGACGCAACTGAGCTCTGTAGCTGGGCCGGCTGGGAGCACCGCTCACTCCGAGCGCCACCGCCGCTGCAGGACCCGGCCGGGCCGGAGCGCGGGGCCGCGGGCGGCAGGACGGGGCACGGGCGAGGGGGACGGGCCGAGGGGAGGCCGCCCCGCGCCACACGCGCTCCGGGCCCAACAGAGCTGGTCGTGCTCCGCCGTCACGGAGAAGCCCGGCCGCCTCTCGGCACCGGGACAGGGCTGAGGGAGTCACCAGGAGCGGGGAAAGGGGGTGGGAAAGCCGGCGGCACGAGGAGGCCGCGGCCCGGGCAGCGGCCGCGCAGCGGTTCCGCGAGAGTCGAACTCCCGAGAACTGGCTCCCGGCGCAAACCCCGCGCCGCCCTCAGCCACACGCCGCACCCGGAGGAGGCGGACGCTGTCCCTCACGCCATCCATCCACGCACCCACCGGACTGGCGCTCGGACGGACTCCGCAGCTCCCGCACGGCTCCGCCAAGATGGCGCCGCCGCCGCTACCCCCCCACACCGAGGAGCGGCTGCGCCGCACGAGCACTTCCGGGCCGCGAGCCCTGCCGCGCGCCGCGAGCGCGGGGCTGCGCGCGCACCCTGCGGACGGGGCGGGAAACGCCGCTGCCCCGTGACCCCGCCCCCTCCCGCCTCTGCCGCGCGTGCGCCGCCTCGCGCGCCCCCATTCACCGTGATGCCCGCGCGCGCCGCAGGTAGTGCGCATGCGCCTTGTGGCCGGGGGCGGCCCTGTGGTCCCGTTTAAATAGCGCTGTATAATGACCAAACTGTGTAATGATAGAGCTGTACAGTACCAGATCGGTATGTAGAGATCGGTCACACGGCGGGCTGCGGGACTCGGCCACCTTGCTGTGTTGTGCGCTGTGCTCAGGCTCATACCCGCTAGTGCCGCATCCTCCCAGCCTCAGAACTCGGGAGCGGGTTTGCGCTCACCGCTGCTCTGCCAGTAACTTCTAACCCAGCTCGGCTGGCTTAAGTCTGGGTTTTGGAAGGAAAGGCAGGCAGGGATGGGGAAATGGCAGAGGAGGAGGAAAGGCTGTGTAAAGGGAAGGGCAGAGGCAGGATTGTTGGGCAGGTGAGGTAGTTATTTTATCCTAGTGTTTATCCCACCTGCCTTTATGTATTCTCCCCTGTATTTCTACGCTTATTCAGCACTTGTCTGCTCCATTTTACATAGACAAATAATAATAAAAAAATGTTATTTTTGGTAGATTCACCTAGTAATGCTGCCGATTTTAGGAGCTCTCTAAACACACACAATATAGTTTAAAAGGGAGACATTGCTTATCCTGCGCAGGATGCAAGGTGGAGGTTTCCACAAATCAAGCACACCAAGGGGTAAAAACTAACGTCTTTTAGATAGTAAAATTTACATGAACTTCAGCCTGGGGACAGATAATTCGACTTGAAGATATCAGTAACTCAAGCTTTTAAAGCCTTGTTGAGCCAGCACAAGAAATCCAATGAGGAATAAAGCATTTGGTGCAATAAGCATATAGGCTTCCAAGCAGTGCTAATATCGAGAATTGTAATAGTTAGGCAATTAGCTTGCAGGACAGGGGCAACAAGGAATAATTAATACCCAAGGCATAAAGTACCCTGCAAAGTTTTGGTAACATTTGAAGGAATGGGACAAGCGGCAATGGGCAGAAACTGTTGCACAGAAAGTTCCACCTGAATATGAGGAAAAACTTGTTTACTGTGTGGGTGACTATGCACTGGAACAGATTGTCCAGAGAGGTTGTGGAGTGTTCCTCGCTGGAGATATTCAAGAACTGTTTGGGCACAATCCTGTGCCATGTGCTCTGGGATGATCCTGTCTGAGCAGAGAGGTTGGACCAAATGACCCACTGTGGTCCCTTCCAACCTGACCCATTCTGTCATTCTGTGGAATGGGAACAAGAACGTCCTGACAAAGGTGAAAGAGGTAAAGGGGAGTTACTTCGGCTCTGTATCCATTCCTCTAGGCATTTTGTGTTTTCACCTTGTTACCAGTTTCCTCTCACAGGGGGGAAGTTACAAACAAGTGTTACATTAGTATGATACACCGTTCTAGAGACGAGGTACAGGAAAGCGTAATCCGGGATTCGCCGTACTCTTGTGTCCTCCTCCTAATCTCCCACAGGACAAACAAACCCCTGTGCAGCCCACACCCTAATCCCGGGTTTGTACCACTCCCTTCCTGCCCACCCCGCGGACGCTTCGCGGACTGCGGCGGCTGGCCCGCGGCGCTCGCCGTAGCGGTGGTGCGCGCGGTGGCCATGGCAGCGGGGGGCCGCGGTGCCGCCGCCGCCGCGCTGCTCTTGGCGGTGTCGGTGGCGCTGCCTCCCGCCCGCGCCTTTTCCGTCCCGCTCCAGCGCCCCGCCGCCTGCGCCACCGACCGCTACTTCGACAGCTCCCGCCTGGCCTGCGCGCCCTGCGGAGCCCACCAGCGGCAGAGCGCCGGCGGTGAGCGAGGGGGGAGGCGGCGCTGCCCGGGCCCGAGGCCGATCGGGGCTCGGGCGGCTCCGCGCTGAATCCGACTCCCAGCAGCGGGAGGCGCAAAATCGGGGCTCAGGCCGTGGCGGTGAAACAGTAGCTCTCAGGGGCGAGTCTGAAGGCAGCGAAAAGCGCCACGATGCCGCAAAGACCCAAGTGGGCGCAGCAGAGCTGCGACGTGTCTGAGATACAGCCCTGAGAAACGGCTTTTTAAATAAAGCCTTTTTTAATAAAGCCTTTCTTAATACTCTTTCTTTCCTCAGGCATTTGTATGGTTATGAGTATTTGCGTTTTCGTTGGTAAAATCTCACAGAGCCCTGAAATTATGTTCTTGAACACTTCGGTAACTTTAAACTGCTTGTCAAAGGTTGAATGTGCGAGATGTAGAGATCCTCAGGCTGTACCCGTGCTGGTCTGAGTCCCACACGGGAGCTTGGAGCGAATACAACACACCTTGACAGTACTAGATAAAAAATCCAGATAGTCAGTCGCTTTCTTTAGGGGATGAGAGTGGGAGTTCACTGTCGTGTACAGACACAAATTTGAGACTAAGACCCAACAGCATCTCTCTTCAGAGCTGGTACTTCAGTGAGAAGCAGTGATGTGGATGGCTGTTTTCACAACTGCTGCGTAAAAGCTGGTCACCTCTTCAGCACCAATATGACACCCTAAAGAGTAGTCCTATAGTTTACTTACAGAAAAACAAATACCATGTAATCATTTTCAGATCTTATAATGTGGGTGTCTAGATCCATAACTCCCCTGAGGCTGAATCTTCCTCCAAATCAGGGGCTTCAGGGAGAGATAAATTCCAGGTGGAGGTCAAGGGTTTATTTTTTTTCTTGGAGCATCTGACTGGAGCAATGTAGGTAGGTAACATTTAGCCTACTCTTTGCATGATGGCTGAATTCCACTTGTGATTGCACAAGCCTGCCCATACACTCCCTCGATAGCTCATCACTGTGGATTCTGCCATCAAGCAATATGCCTACAAATTTAGGTGTTGTCACAGTGAAATCACAACTCAAGCCTCTTCACTGACATAATCCTATTGGTCTTTTTTATAATTATGAGTGGTTCATCCCTTTGACAAATGTTTCTGTGCAACTGATCGCATGAGGATGTACTTTAAGGCTATTAAACTTTTCACAGAATTTTACATTATTTTTACATGCACAGTTCAATAAACTTAAGTAATAATAAATACAGTTTATTAGTACGTATAATCAGTTTTGGTTTGTAGTATGCGTTCCAAATTATGGTGAGAAGTCTGATAGACTGAAAAGGTTTCTAAAAAAAAAGAGTTGCTGAGGACTAGCAGATGTGCACGAGGGTGTGCTATGAAAGTAGTGTTTCATTTCATACTAAATGTTAGGTATGTTCTGTTAGTTACTAAAAACCATTCAAAGTTTGATCCCCATGCACAATTTTAAAAGCTTTGCAAATTTAAAACAGCTTCACATATGACAGTTAAATTTTAAAAAACCTTTGAATATAAACATTAAACATATTTTGGTTTTAGGACTGACTTCCTGTGGAAATAGTCAAAACTGTATACAAACATATAATGCTGGTGTTGTAGAGAGAATGGGCTGAGAAAGTCACTGTGGCAAGATTTAGATAGAGAGATTATATCTGTTTGGTTTAAAAAAAGAACACAAAAAACACAAGCTCGAGATTCCTGTTGCATCCTGGTGGATCAGTCAGCCTTGTAACACTTTCCTAAAATATCTGTGTATGAATCAGAACATGGACATTTTCAAAAAGCAAGATGATTTTCATCCACATCTCAGGTGTTTTGTGTCTGTCTAATAATCCATACTGATCTCTTGGGAACAACAGCAGTTCTTAGTATTCTGTAAAAAACAGTCAGTTTTATATAGATTAAAAGTGCATTTGCTTTGTTTTTTTCAGGTAGTTCCTGTGTATGTGAACCAGGATACAGGATGGTTTCCAGTAATGGTGGGTTCTCTGTTACTTGTGAAAAATGCCCAGAAAATATGGTAGGTATTGAACTTTTCATGCTTTACCATAATAATAATAATTTTTTAATTTTAAATTTCATCCTGACCGGAAGTTATTTTTCATTAATTTAAAATACTTTTGCGTTATGGTCTTTGCTTGGGAATTTTTAAGACCATACTTACAGGTATTTTTTTCAATTTAGAAGTATTTATAGTAATTCATATATTTAATATGTAGTATTTTTTCTCAATTTAGAAGTGTTTATTATTATGATTTTGCAGGCATTTTTTCATTAGAAATTTGACCCTGCAGACAAAATAAGATTTTAAATATTAATTTCCTTCCACTGCTTTTTCTTTCTGCTTTATGTTATTCTTGCCCACACAGCTCTGTAGAATGTCAAAGATAGTTTTCAGTTCATAGGTATCTTATTTGATTATTTATACAAATCCTATTATTGTAATATTTAAGCTGTATCTTTGTAGCCCCAATACTTCTTTTTACTCCAAAATGAGCTGCTACTATTTTGTTACTTTAATTACAAATATCTTTGTAGTTTGGTCAGTTCTTTCTACCATTCTTGACAAATTAAGCTATAATTTTGAGCACTGAGCCAGAGACACCAGGCTTAACCAGCTTTTTCCTGTCATAGTAAATAGAGAAATATTTTTTTGTAGCAAATCAGCTTTTCAGGGTGAAGCCTTCCCAAATACTTCTCTTTCTTCAGTAACTATAGAACTTTTAAGAGGCCAGCTTAGTTGCCTGAGTTGGGTGTTTAATGGGTAATGGGCATTGTAGGTAATTTCCCTCTCCTTTGCATTTACTTGCTAAGTTAGACAAAGACATTGACAAATATTCTTTGGTGATTTGATCATTTGCTATTTCTTTCTCTTTCCTGCACTGGTGGTATTTGTCTTTAATCTACTGGCAAGGCTTTTGAAAAGATAAAATGATGATAGTGGAGAAGGGAGTAACATTTTGGTTTTTATCTGTAGTGCAGTTACTTCATAGTATAAAGTAAGTGTGGGTGTGAACTGTTTGAGTATGAACAAAATTCCATGCAATTATGTAAGCTGCTTAACTTAGAACTCCTCCATATCCATTACTTCCATATATTTATATGCAAATATGTCTATTATTATGTTTATTTATTTTTCTTTTTCCAGTGTAGGATGTCTATATCTCTTTTTAAACCTTCTACTTTTAATTAACTCTTATCTTCACTAAAGAGTGTGCGCTAACAGGTTCAGAAGAGCTGAATTTCTTTTTAGTCTGTGTCTGCATAGGAATTGCTTTTGCCAGATTGTTTAGCCTTTTATTTGTCTTTAAAAGCTTCATGAACGTTACCAATGTTTTATCTGAACACATTTTCTGTAACTAATGTCTGGATAAGGCCAATTCTTCACAGATATTGAGTGATGTCTATATTTTTGAAAATTCTAATAGTTTTACATTTTATTTCAGAGCGGAGTTACTCAGGATGGGTGGAATTGTATTACTTGCCCTAAAGGCCTGACTTTGGAAGGAAAATGTAAATGCCCCAATAATGAAATATTAGGTAAAAAATTTATGCAAGTTATGAGATGATAGTACTTATTTTATATATTTGAGTTTACTAAGACATGCTCTTCTGTTAAATAAGAAAGGAAATTTGACGTATGTTTACATATCTGTTGCAAAAATTCAGCTTTCCTCTTGATCTTAATTGTCATTCCTGAAAGACAACAGATAAATCTGTACCATTGCGCATTGCAATAAAAATTATTATGTAAACATTCCAAAAATGAATACTGATGTATCGCTTCCATTAAGCTTATTGGCACTGGATGGAAGCATTAAAATTGGAATAAAAACAATGTTATGAAGTATATAAAGCAGAAAGGAATTATATATAAGAGTACATGGAAGAGAACAGCCTGAGCAAGCCAAGCGAGCTGCTGTGTGTTAGTATCACTGGATTTCCTGCTCCCCTGAGACACACACCTGTATCTGTGGTTTTCTGTGCCGTGCTTCCCCATAACTTTGCTTCTTAGTTGCAGATGACTCTCAGTTGACAGAAGAATAATTTTAATGTTAAAATTAAAACATTAATTAGTGTTTGTGTTAATTATATTTTTGTTTATTTTGCATAGTTAAAGCCTAAAAGCAAAGTACAGTTTTCATCAGGAGTGTAAAACATAAGAGCTCTTGGGACCCCCTGGTTTTCCTTATTTTCAAAGACATGGCATGGATGTAATTCTTTGAATAAGTATATTAAATGTCCACTTTAGTTACATTTCTAACAGAGTATGTTGAAGAATCAGTGTTTTCCAGATTATTAATTTTAAATTTCCTAGGAATCTGAAAAACAATGAATACCAGTCTTCTTCCTTAAACTTAATGAGAGTTACAAAATACATTCTGAGCTTTTATAGTAAAATGTTGAGAGCAAAGCTGATTCTGTAATTTAACATGCAGGAAGAACATTAGTATTGTCATTTTTTTATTATTTTATTTGGTTTGGGGTTTTTTCGTAATTAGACTTGAAATCTCTTGCTAAATGATTTAGTTGCTGGAAGATGCAGTTTTGAAACTTGAGATTTGTGACATTTGCATGAATCATTTCAGATGAAGTTTAATTATTTTTTTTCCCAGTAATTTGTAAGCTTGACATTTTGAATTTTTGCTTTGCAGTGAAGTCTTGGTTTGAAATTCGGTTCAGAATTAATAGCAAAAGAACAAAAAAACTACACATGAAATGTTGCCATTCTCACTAAATTTAAACTGCATGTGCATAGCTATACACAGTGTACACATACACACATAGTGGATATTATTTGCAAGTTGTGCTCTTGATTTTTTAAGAATAAACTCTCTGAATTTATTGTAGATCTGCACAGACACTTTATTTTTTCACACTTTTCCTAATCTGTGTGACATACTGTGAATCGTGCAATTTTATCACAGTTGCTTTTCTTTTCTACTGAAGTGGAAAGAAGCATCGATGGCATCTTGCTTAACGAAGCATTGTGCATACATTGTAATGGAAGTGAGCAGTCCTTCTCTGCTTCAGATGCATCAGGAAGTAGGTGGGTGTTCTTTGCCTTTTGTGATGATAAATTTGAACGGGTCATGCTCTGTTCAAATGGAACATTCCTGAGGAATAGTCTGTATCTTCGGGATGACAGTTTTGAAGGCAGTGACTTGGAAATCGTCAACTCCATATCAAACTCTGTTTCGTGCTCACTGAAGTCCTTTTATGACCAGCAGCTTGGTTTGTTTGTCTGGCTTTAGTGTGACTAGAAAGCAGGCTTTGAATTGGAAGCAGAAATAGAATTCTTATTTGGTTTGTTTTCTACTTCACTGATAGTAGAAACAAATAGGTAATAACTTTGGAATTTCAGAAGTAGGGAAGCCACTGACACTGTTATTGGGCATGCTATGTAATCAACTTTCACTAAGTAGCAAATCTCATACTTAAGTGCATTTTAAGTGCATTCTTCATGTTTGTGATCCATAGGTGTGTAAGATGTGAAAAAACATTCATCCATGTAAGCAAGTCTTGTGACTGCAGCAGCCCAAACATTCTGGTAAGTAGAATGGTTATTATATTGAAGTTCAGCAGAGAAAAGTTATTTTGACAAGTGTGTAAATTTCTATTTTTTTATTCTTTTATTTCTTTCAGACCGGGGGATTGTGTTTCTTTGCTCAGGAAAGTTTACCCCCAAAGGGAGTTGCAACTGTTCGTTTTGCACAGCTAGTGAGTATATTTATTCTAAAACATTTTTAAGCTCTCTTCATTGTTTACTTTTAGTAAATAGTTTAAATTCCAATCCTGAAAAAAAAAAGGTGGTAGTTTGTTGTCTGATTTGCATCAAGATAGAGTATAGGTATGGAGACCAGGCAAGCACTGTTCTAACATAGTAAGGTTTTAAAAATTCATGCCCTCTTGGAAACTGAAAAAGAGAAGTCATTTACATGACTTCAGTATCAAAACAAGTAGCATGGTTGTGTTTTGAACTGATATTGTTTGATTGAGATATTTACAAAGGACAGAAAGCTCTTAGAAAAAAATAAGTAGCATCTTTTGGCTGACTTAGTTTTCCAGACTGTTACATTATGGATAAATTGTTGTGAACAAAGACAGTGAAAAAAAATCCTTATTTACAGGGTATAACACTGACATCTGCGTGGTTTCTGAAAAACCTGCAGTCCTCAGCCTTTGCCTGTTGGGTGAGTTTCATGAACATTTGCAGTTTCATTTTTTTCTACAGAAGTAGAACCCTCTATAAAAGCATGGCACTTTAACTTTTGGAAGTTACCTTGCTTATTTTTAAATAATATTGAGGACAATGTTAATGCAAGTCAACAGGGCTGGAATTTTCACAAGATGAATGGGGTTAAAGAAGAAATCCCACTTCAGTCAGCAGTGTGTGAACTGTCGCTGAGCATATCCAGGAAGGGATCACTCATAAAATTAACTTCTTACATATTCAGTATTGATTGGCACCTGGTCTTTACCTCGTATTTGACTTTTGGTTATTAATTTTGGTTTGTGATGTAGAAGGATCACCATAGAACCATCCTTTTTAGTTTTGCTTTGCTTTGCTTTCTGTATGCAAGTGTTATTTGCCATTATGTTGCTCTGGGTGACAGTAAACATGGGTGGAAGAGTGGGTGCAGCAAGAGAATCACAGACACTTGTGAAGGGGATATGCCTCTGCCTCTTTTTTTTACCAACTCTGTTATCACACATGCTCCTTTTCCTTCTGCATTCCACTCCTCAAAATCAGATTTTAACTTCTCAAGCCCTACTTTTTCTTCCAATCTGTCACATCCCAAAGGGTTACCTGGCCTACTGGTCTCTCAAGATCACAATAGTGGATTTGCAGAATTCCGTAATACACAAGCACACAGAGCCTTTATTTCCTACATTTCCTTGTTAGAGATTACTACAAATAGCTACCAATAAAGTGAGTATACTTACAATTAATAAAGCAAGTATATGTGTATTCCAGTGGTAGCAGCAAACAGTAGTAGCAACAAGCATATATTTCAGTATTACAATCTACTACAAAATGATCACTAGTAAAGCAGCAAATATGCTTAGGATCAATTACCTATATGCATGCCTATGTATATATATTATTCAAAATAGTACCAGTACCATACTCACTAAACCACACCCAGAAGTGGGGCCTCAAAATTGATGACAGTGAAGTTTCACTTCAAAGATGATCCACATTGCAGAGTCTGGAATCAGCCAGGCATCCCCAGCGTGGTCTGATAACTTGCCTAGGAGAGCTCATAGAAGAGTTTGTGTAGAGGACATTCTCTGTGTGTTAGAGAGATTGAAAGAGAGAGACCACAGGCAAGGACAGAGGTCACTCTCCATTTTGGGTAAAAAGTAAGTAATTTTTGTATCACAGAGACATAATGTGGCATAGGACAGCACCACCTGGAGCAGCCAATAGATGGTGGTTTATATTCTCTCAGGCTAGTTTTTGTTTTTTCCAGACTGTTTTTGTGCTCTTTCATCTACAACAGTCAATAGCAGTTGCTAATTGCTACTCTTTTGAAATGTTTTCCCTCCTCTAGATTCTTTTTCGTGCTTCCAGATGATAAGTTGCTGTTACAGTTCCTTGGTTTTGTGTTTATTGATGGTATCTCAGGAGGTCTCTGATGTACCAGAGACATTAGGTACCCACCTGCACTTCTCAAGGATGTTTCAGATTCCCAGGCCTAGTTCCTAGGATGGCAGGTGTTCTCTCACTCAGTGTCTCATCAGATTCTTGTTCAGTATTTCCCCAGATCATCTTTGTGGCTGCTCCCATCATCATCTCGTAAACACAGCTCTGAGATGTATTCTCCTACTTGTCCTATTCTTTTTCACCAACTGAGACTGTTCTCATTGCTAACATAAGTTTGTCCTGTGTGTCCTCAAGCTGCTCAGCAACTCAGAGGTGCTGCCTGAACGTAATGTGCAGCCACGGATCTGATCCAAACAAAGGGAGTAAGGAGGTGGCAAGTTTGCACTAGATCACTGCACAGAGATGCCAGGCATCACCTCTGCCTAGCACTTAGCCCTGGTTTGTTTGCCAAAACTGAACAAGGTATAGATACAGCATAGTTTAGGAACAGCAGGATAGAAAAAGTACTAAAACTGAAAAGAAGATATTTACAATACACGCAACTATAGTTGTCAGTCTGAGCTCTTTGATGGAGTCATCTTTGTCATATAGCTGAAGCGGTATTAAACATTTTGATTCTTACTTTGTTTTCTAAATGCAGATTTTGACATTTCTGTCACATCATCACATCATAGCTGATGCAACTAAAATAAACTGAAAAAGAGAGAGTATTGATTTTACACTGCCATCTGCAGACCTATAAAAATATGATACCTGAATACATGGGAGAAAATACTAGGTGTTTACAAAACAAAATTCCTTTTAAGTGAAAACAAGGGTTTAGGAGTGGCTTCTTAAAAATAGCATTAATTTTATGATTGCCTCATCAAAAGGAGGGGTAATTAAATACTTTTGTGTGTTCTTGTGTTTCTGCACTGCAGTTGTACTCAAATGTAACAGCATGCCAAGCTCTTGGAAATATGTGTGTGATGAATATGAACTCATTGAGTTCTTCAAGTACTGATGCCTGTGGTTTATTTCAATATATTTTTATCGGTACAGCAAGACTAGGCATCATTCATTCAATAGCCTACTGGTAAGTTGCCTTTTCCATAACTTTTGGTCTTTAATAGCATTTTATGGAAATTATTCTGAATGTTCTTTGATGAAAAATATTATGTTTCTTTAGAGAAAACATTGTAATTCTTTTCAGGAGGCATAATCTTCCATGGCTATATTATGGTGATCAACCAGGATTAGCTTCTCAAGTGCTTGAGAAAAATCATTTCCCTACAACCTTCAGTTTTAAAGGAAGAGATAAGGTAAGTTTTGGGTAGTAGACATGGGAAAGCAGACATTAGGAACAAGACATAATCACATAGAGAGGCTTAGATTTATTATAGTTGTGACTCTACTAAAGATATATTTTAGGCAGTCAGTGTAACAGAACTCATTGTGAGATCTTACAGAAGAAGAAGGTGATCTTTGTGTAAAATAATGTCTAGTAAGATGATTTTACTGACACTCACACATTTGCTTTGGTTATGCTCTCATACCCACATTCTCATAAGGCCAAAATGTGCTTGCCTGAGTGGTCTGACCAGGATCAATTGTGTGACACAGAACAGAGGATGTCAGCTATTAAGTGTTCATTGTGTCCCCAAGGTCCTGGGTTGGCAGCAATGGACTAGTAATTAGACAAATCTTTTATACCCCTTAGGAGTTACTAGTTGTTTTGCCACTGTCCTTTGCTTCAGTCTTGTTTACTTCAGTCTTCATAAATCTGAAGCAAAATTGGTTTTTGTCTTTTTTCCTTGTTTGAAATACATTAATCCTTTTTTCAGTTTTCCTGGTGAGATAATTGGAAGAAGCGGGATGTATGTGCTGTGCTGTAACTTTGCTGCCACTCGCCTGGGATACCAAAGTGCAGGGTCTTTTGCTGACAATTTATCTGTGCCACGGTTTTATCACAACCCATTTCTCAGCTCTGTTGCTGGGAATAGTATTCTTCATCATTGTTATGTGGTGTTTAACCCTTTTCTTCTGTTGCTTCTGTTGTGTACACACACATTGCTCTCCCTACTTCATTTATACCAACTGTAATATTTGTTACAAATCTCTACAAGCTGAGTTGTATCAGAGATGGATTCAGTGTATTACTCCAGGTTTTTCCTCTTCCTACAGTGAGTTAGGGAAAAAAACAAACAACAAAAGAGGTGAGAAAACCAAATCATTTCAGTGTTAACAAAGCAATATATCCATCCCTAGGAGGGATGGACTGCTACAAGTAGATTGTTAACTGGCACAGTTTTATGAAGGAATCAAATAGTAAATCAAACACTGAAGTGATTTATTTTACAGATTCACTGTAAAAATAGAATAACTGGAATAGTTTATTCAAGTTAAGCTAATCACAGAAGGTAAGTATGCTAGCGATAATCTGTTTGTCAGTTATACTGCCAGATTTATCGAGAGTTTTCTTATTCACTCAAAAATAAAATCAATCTTTTTCAGCCATATTCTAAAAGGCTGTGTTTTAAGTTAAGCAATGTTACAATGCTGCAGTTGTTTTAACAACTAAAATACTCGTTATTCTTCCTAACACTGAAAGTCCTGGAGGCTCTTAAGGTCCAGCATAGTCTACATTAGAAATCTGCATAGATTTTTGATTAGTTCAGGGCATGTCTACCTGTGTCGAAGTTCCTTTGGAACTTTTTCCAGTGAAGCTGTAGAAGTATGGTAAAGTAGGGAGTTTTTTTGAAAAAGATAACTACCAAAACCAAGATTTAAAACAAAATCAAAAGGGAAAAAATGGAAGGATTATGCTGAAAGTTTCAGGAAGCATAAAACGATGACATAGCATTCTCTTAAAACATGTATGTCCACTTTAGGGCAGTTTAATTGTTTCTTTATCTTTTTTTCATCATCAGGATGTGAAGCTGCAATTTATTGCAGCCTCGTTTGATGCAGCAGGAAACTTTCTTAAATGGCAAAGTTTGGAAGGAGGCATCTTACAGGTATGTCTGATTTTAGTTATCTTTCCTTGATACCATAACTTTCTGGTTGCCTTTAGTCAAATTAATACAAAAACCAAAAGTTTGGTTACTTCACTAATGACAGTTCATAACTATAGAGCTACATTAGGGAAAATAGCCCCTGATTCTTGATCAATGATCTCTACAAAATGACAGGTATAAATTCATCGACGTTGCCTTCATCCATTGTACCAATATAAATTTTGAACATTGGAAAGATGTGAAAAATAACGCTTGTCACTTAAAACCAACCATCTCTTTCTTCCTTTCAGCACAGTTACCCATGTGTGTAGTTTCTGATTAGACCTATTTTGCTTGTTGAGAAAAGTGTATTTTTTAGCTCTCAGTTCACATATATTTATAGACGATTGTGGCAGTTTGAGCCACATTAGAAATCTAAAAATTTAATTTCCAGGCTCCCCCACCACTTCCCACAATTTATCCCAACACCGAAGAGAGAACTTTCAGGCCAGAGGCTTCTATTGGGGAAGGGGGAAGTATTTACATTTATTTTATGCAAATAAATACTATACCAACTAAAGGCAACTATATATATATATTACATTTCTATTAGTCCTTTTAAGTCCCTCCCTTTAACTTTAGTCCAGGAGAAGCCTTTTCAGGCTGGGAAGTAACCAGTCTCTCCCTCGTGGGAGTGTTCGGAGCCCGAACGCTCCCCCCTCACCAAGCTCCAGCTGTTGTGGAAGTTTTTCCTCCTCACAAAGTCCAAGAAGATAGCTTTGAGTCTGTCCTCTCATACCTCGCTTCCCTGTTGCTGTAGTGTAGTTTATCACAGTAGGCGTTTGGAATCTTCATTCCTCCAAGTCAGTTTTTGGTTGCCCCCAGTCAGCTTCGGCAGGCAACTCCCGAGCCTCTCTCTCTCTCTAGCCCGTCTCCAATTTTGCCTGGGATTCTTCTCCTGAGCGCCGAGCTGTTTTATTATCAGCCCATCCACTTGGCTCTGCTTCAAATGCTGAGCCTCTCCTCCACTTTACAGCAGAGGGAAAGAAAAGGCCCCCCTCCACAGCTTAACTGTAGAAAGGGGGGGGAAGAGGGATTGACTGCAAGGCCTGCCTCTCTCCTCTTATCTCAGGTGCTGTGAGTCACGTCCCTCACAAACACTCACTCTAAATGCTGCCTTTAACTCTGGCCTAGGCAGAGTTGGGGAGCTGCAGGGCTCCCCTCCCCCCCGAAGGGGGGAAGAAGGAGCCCAGCCACCCCCTGGCCTTCTACACCTACACACAGCAGAGACCAACAGAAACACTGCCAACAGCTTCTGGTGCTGTGTATGTGTGATTTTTCAGCAGAAGCGAACAAGACGAATGGTGACTGGCTCTCCAGGGAACACTGTCCTGGCACCCAGTCACCTCTGAGCCCCTGACTCTCGGGGGGGCCATCTCAAACCATGACAACGATTCTATGAGTATGTCCCTGTTGGATGTTGTCACCCGCTTGCACACATTGTGGGGGTAACAAGCAAATCAGTGATTTTGTCACTGTCAAAAGAGGTAGGAAACCTGATGTACTACCCCATTTTATTTCACTTCTCTTTGGATTTTTGTTTGCTTATTTCTTTTGGTTTGAAACATAAAAGGTACACTTTGGCCAACATCTGCCTGTCTTTTTCATAACAGAAGGTTATAAATACTTACTGGGAGACTTTACATAGAAATGGGGAACACTGGCTAGAAGATTGACAGTACCCTTGGATACGCTACCCTCAGATTTCAGTGGTACACACAGACATTCTACTTCAGCGGTACCATGCTTTATAGATAACCTGTAAAAATTGGAAGTAAGCAGCAAGTAGAAAGTGCAATAGTAAATTAGCTTATCAGCAAGAGAAATGGGCAGCTGCAGCACATGTTACAGAGTAGAATTTGTTTAGCAGTCTAGTGGTGATCTAAGCACTCTCAGTATTTCCCTTGGCAGGCAACAATAGAAACACTAGCAAGAACAATTGGGAATTCTATGTCCCATTTTCTAGGCTCTTCATGTCACTCTTGGAGTGTGTCACTTCAAATGCCACAGTGTCTACAGAAAAGCAGCTGACATTCAGGATTTAAATAGTGACTGCTGTTTTTTTTTGTTACTCTCTCAGGGTGAACCGTCTTGTGTCTGCCTCTCCAGTTTTAAGGAGAACTAGTGTCTGAGAGAACAGGTTACTAAGACAATTACTATGCATAGAAAATTATACATTCTGAGGGAAATTTTAAGGTTCATTAGGGCATATTAATTTTCTAAGGCAAAGAATTTCATAGCTATCAAGAACCAATAGGAAAGGAATATCTTTTCCATTCAAAGCTTCATTTAATGTAATAGGTTGTGTGTGATGATAAGACATCACAGTGCTAAAGTGATCTCAGTGCATAATTGTAGCAATTCCCAGAATTTCAGTTTCGCACTAGCAGAATTGTGGTTTATATAAATTTAGACTTGATTTTCATTTTGGGAAAATGGCTATGCCCTTTGCTAAATGCCATGATAATTTAGTTAGAATTTGGCCCATTTTTTCTAAATTCAGTTGAATCTGCTGTTCTTTGCAGAAAATATAAGTGTTAGAGTAAAAAAAGGGAAAAAATTCTGTTACTTGCTGTAACTTTAATCCTCTGATAATGCCAGCTTAAGAGAAATAGTGTAATATGAATGTGGACTCCTTTTCTTACAGGATTCTTGAATTTAGCAGAAGCCACTAATAAAGCTTGAGGCAGCACAGTGCATTGAACATTCAGTCCCCAAAAAGATTATTCTTGCCTGTTTGGATGCTGCTGTCCACAGATTCAGTGGAACTTAAAAATGCTATGCAAGTATGAATAAGCTAAACCAACGTTTTAAGAACACCAATATTACTGCAATAAATAATCATGTTTACTCTTCAAAATATTCCTTCTGTTAAAAAAATAGAACAAAATATCTTTTGTGAGAACTGTGAATACATAAACTGCTTGAGGTACCTGTAAATATTTTTCATGTGAGAAAATGATAATTTTGAATTGACTTAATTATAATTATGATTTGTTCAGCTTTGTCCTGATACAGAAACTAAATTGGATGCAGCTTATACATTTGGAACAACTTACCAACAAAGTGTAAGTAAGATATAAAACGCTATTCTAAATTTTGAGTCAAGTTGCTTGATACATCATTAGTAATTCAGTGTATATTAAAGGACATCTGCAGTTTAGCCATAAGCTGCAACATGAAGTTCTTTCTTGTGAAAGTGGTGCTTATTTTAATTTTTTTTGTCGTTGACTGAAATAAGTGGGTTTCTTTAAATTATTTAACTGTACATCACAAAACTTGTGTATTACATAGCATGATAAAAATAAATTAAACTGGCATTTATATTAGTGAGGTTGCTGACTTAGCAGTGGAAGAACACAATGCCTGAATTCTGACACTCATATACTTTGCATCATATCTTCTAATTTTCCTTTTGCCACCTTTGGCCAGGTTTCATACAGAAAGAAGGCAAATCCCATCATGCCATGCCTGTATATTATCCCTGCTAACTCTTTAATGTGTGCCCTGATTTTAGTGAACTCAATACAGAGAGAAGGCCGAACAGATGATTCATCAAAGAGGTTCTTTAGTTGTCTCAACTATGGAAAAAAACTGTTGGAGTTTTCACACCTGACTAAACAGCAGGAAGGAAAGAGGGGATAGAGCAGTGTATGCTTATATGCTAAATTCAGTCAGCCACAGACATGGTTCTGCCAACAATAAAATATCATTAATTTTTGTCACTTAACATGTTAAATGGGGAGGTGATAGTCTCTTTGGCAGGGGGTGGTGAAAGAAACATATTTATTTTTATAAAACTCCCTATGTGTGCACAGCATCTCATACCTATATATTAATACTGTTTATTAACTCATCTACATTCAAAACCATTCCCCACATTATGTGTTGCAGTGCAAAAATACATGAACTCTGGCTGCTACTTGGGTAATGTGAAAGTTTGGGTAGGGTAATACAAAGCTTTAGTCTGTGAAATCTAAAGTGTTTACCAAATAACATTGACAAGTGTTAAATATTTTTACTCTTCCATATTGTTTAATCTTGTTTAATCCATATTTCAGTATTTCAGACAGAATGAAAACATTTTCTATTCATGATCATTGAACTAGTCAAGTATGGTTATTTTTTTCTGCTCTTTAAAATGTTATGTATTTGATATATTGAGTTTGTAGAACTTGTTAAGTATTACTAACAGTTAATATTACTGGGTTTGAATATATACACCAATAAATAATAACTTACTGAGTATTTTTTAATGTAACTATTTTCATGGGTTGCAATACTTTTTTTTTCTTTCCTACAGCTTTGGAGAAAACATGGTTGACATGTTATATGAGTATTTAAAGACTTCCTGGTTGTTCATATATGCACCTACTTTCATATTTAATTTTCTTCACACAGTCACGGTGGTTGAAGTAGTCAGGGACCTCAGGAAGTCATCTTGTCCACTCCCCTGCTCAAACAGGGCCACCTAGAGCAGGTTGCCCAATACCATGTCCAGATGGCTTTTGAATATCTTCAAGGAGTGAGACTCCACAGCCTCGCTGAGTAACCTGTGTCAGTGCTTGGTCATCCTCACAGTGGAAAAGTGTTTTCTGATGCTCAGAGGGAACCTCTGAGTTCAATTTGTGCCCATTGCCTGGGCCCTTGAATTGGATTTCAGTTTGTGCCCATTGCCTCTGGTCCTGTCACTGGGAAGTGCTGAAAAGAGCCTGGCTTTGTCTTGTACACCCTCCCTTCAGATATTTGTACACATTGATAAGATCTCCCCAAGCCTTCTTATTCTGGCAGAAGTCTCAGCTTTTCCTCAAAGCAGAGATGCCCGCATGGGGCTATATCAAGTAGCTCCATATCTATCTTGTACTGGTGAGCCCAGAACCAGATTCAGTACTCCATGACTTTAGCATTTGTGTGTCTTGACTTTAGTGTTTATGCTGTTTCAAATTTTATGCCTGTGAAGTTTGCTAGGATATTTTTTCCTAATCTGTTGAAAAACATTAAAATCTTCATTCTCCACATTAGTCATTCTAGTGAATTGCAATAATTTCTAAGAAGTTTGTATAAAATCATTAGTACTTTGTAATTGCTTGCAGTAGCTGGAATGCCTTGCTTGTCAGAACTTCAGTAGAGTGTTTGACACTGTTTCCCACAGCATTTTCATGGAGTAACTGGCTGTTCATGTCTTGGATAGGTATACTCTTTGCTGAATGAAAAACTGGCTGGATGGCTGGGCCCAGAGAATGGTGGTGAATGGAACTAAATCCAGTTGGTGGCCAGGGGTTCCCCAGGGCTCAGATGATCTGGATGAGGGGATCGAGGGCACCCTCAGCAAGTTTGCAGATGACACCATGTTGGATATGGGGTGTTGATCTGCTGGAGGGTTGGGAGGCTCTGCAGAGGGATGTGGACAGGCTGAATCAGTGTGCAGAGGACAATGGTATGAGATTCAACAAGCCAAAGTGCCACGTCCTTCATTTGAGTCACAACTCCATGCAGTGCTCAGGCTTGGGGAAGTGGCTGGAAAGTTCTCTCTTAGAAAAGATGTTTGACAGCTGGCTGAACATGAGCCAGCAATGTGCCCAGGTGGTCAAGAAGGCCAGTGGCCTATATCAGAAACAGTGTGGCCAGCAGGACCAAGGCAGTGATTGTCTTTCTGTACTCGGCACTAGTGAGGCCGCACCTCAAGTGCTGTGTCCAGTTCTGGGCTCGTCACTACAAGAAATACATTGGGGTATTGGAGCAAGTCCAGAGAAGGGCAACGAAGCTGGTGAAGGGTCTGGAGCACCAGTCTCGTAAGGAACAGTTGAGGGAACTGGGTTGTTTAGCCTGGAGAAAGGGAGGCTCAGGGGGGACCTTGATGATTCTGTGACTTTGTCTTCTGTGAAGAAGTGGGACAGATTGCACAATAGTTTTGTAGGAAATGAATCCGCAACTCGATAAAATAATTAAATCCATAGTGATCTTTTTATTTTAACATTTTTTTCTTGTAGTGCAAAATTTCAGTTTCTAAGATTTTATTGGATTTTGCTAATCCAATCTTTTATGACCTGTTCCTTGAATATAATGACGACAATGGACAACAACATCTTTGGGCCGTGCCAGTTTTAAATTTGAATCTTCAATACAACGAAAAGTTTGTTAATCAAGGTAAGACTGTCACAGTAACATTTCTTTGAATTTAAGTAATCTGAATAACTTTAAACAAATAATTTATATTCATTACTATTACTAAGTTGTTTTAAAGATACCACAACACACCACAACTTGTTTCCATTTAAAGAATTTAATACTTTATGGGCAAGTTCTGATAGTTTAAGTGTAAGCTTTGGTTGCATACAGTGTTCCAATCGATAGTATGCACAAATAAAGTAATCTCATTTCATTATGTATTTGTTTAAATTGAAAATAAACAATTTTATATCCTCAACAGTTCTGTGTGTTATACCATTATATGTTTAATTTCTAGTAGATTTCTTTTCTTTTTTTGTGCTGAATTATCTGTGTGAAACTATGTTTTTTCAAAGGTACTAATATGAACAACTGGCTTTTGACTCGTCGATTTTTTTTGGTGGATACACTTAGTGGAAAAGAGACTGACTTGGGAAAACCACCAAGGGTAATTCGGATTGCTAGCGAAATAGCAATAAGGTGATTCATTCATATCATATATAGTACATAGAAAATAAAGCCAATATTGCACAGTCTGCATTTTATTGTCTCAAAAGAAAGTTGTTTTATTATGTTGTTTCTAATATGTCTAATATATAATATATAATGCTTCTTTCTCCATTGGCTATGTGGAAATGGCATGAATTTCCATAGGTTGTTCTGATGAGTGAGTGAGAAAACATTGACTTGTGGTATAGGTACAGTGGATCAGACCATGTTAGCAGGCATTCAGTCACCTCTTAGAAGCAAGCAGGTATCATCTGGAAAGACCTGAAAACTCTGTTAATTCTTTTTCAGTGTGTGTTTTGCTGGCTATACAAGGATGTTATTTCATACTCCATATTCTTTTTTGCAGTATTTTTACAACCTGTTGCCTATTCTGTTATACAATCCAGAATAGGCTTGTAGTCATTTAACTGAAAATGTGAGACTGCATATTAGGCTCATTACTGATGGTTAATCTAAGCTGGAATATATTTTGAAAGAAACTTTTTTTTCTTCTTTATGTGACGTAATGTCTTCTGAGATGACTGCCAAGAAATTGGTATCTGCCTTTTCTTTTGGCTCTCCTTCAACTTATCAGTTAAAAGATTGCTGAATAGCACTGAGTACTGACCCATACAAGTAATAATCTTCTCAGAATCACAGAAAATGCCAAGTTGAAAGGGACTCACAAGATCGAGTCCAACTCCTGGCCCTGCACAGGGCCATCCCCAAGAGGTTAATTTAATATACTGACTCCATTTACCGAGAATTACATATTACATCATTTCAAAAGATAAGGATTAGTTTATGTATCTTAGAAGAACACCCTTCCATCCCCTTCAAGAAAAGGATAATGCCAGAAATTCAAAATACCCATAAGAAAGGTCAATCTGTAATGTTTTGAGAAAAGTTACTTTATGGAATTGGATTCAATTGCAGCTATCTTAATGTCAGTAGGCAGGTAAAGATTGTTTCAGGTATTTTCTTACAAATAAACAATCCTTCCCAGCTTTTCCTTTTTATATATTTGTGTACATGCCTTTGTACACTCCAATTGCTTTTAAAATGTGAAGTGCATGCCATTGGGTTTGAAACTCACGTTTTATTGATCAGATTGTTCTGTTCTCTTAGTATTTTCTTATTAGTACAAGTTTCAATGAATGCTTTCGAAGCACTCATTCGTTTAATCATACTCTGTATTTCTGCAGTATTCGTCTGGTATCCCATATGCAGAGAGGAACTATCTACCCTCCTCTAATCACTATTGCTTACACGGATGTGCTTGTCCAAAACCCTGAAATCCAGAGTGTGATGGTGAGATCTTTGTGCTATCTTAATCAAATTGATTTGGTAATCATACTTTTAGGTCCGTTGGAATTCCAGTTTTCCAGTTGAGTGAACATTTTGGTGCAGTTTCTAATTCTGCTCTTAAGTTTTTGCTAAAACTTAAGCCTTTTAAACAAAGTGTTTAAAAGGATTCTCTTTTTAATTTATATTGAGTCTTTTTTAACTTAAAATAATTAGAGTTCAAAGTTGGTTGTATAATGCTAAATTAGGCTACAATTCAAATAAAATTATATGCACAGAAAATAACAGGAAAAGAGTATGCAGTACACTGAAAGCAATAATTTATGCAAGGAAATGAGTTTTTGTTTAAAGCAATGCACTAAGAGGAGGTTGTTATGACACAAACGTTTCAGGTCACCTATAGTTTAATTTAAAATAAAATTGTGAAAACTACCACTGTCTGTAATGGTTGTAGCATTTCAGAATTTCTATACATATTACTTTTTGCATCTTAATATTCAGGTTTCATTCTCAGTCAATTATGAGATGGATCAGTCAGAGGCTCGGATTCAGACTGATGTAAGTTGCAATTCCCTTTAATTTGTTGATTTAATGAATTATTAACTTCTGGTTTTTTGCTTTTTAAAAAATATCTGCAAATAATTTTTCATTATTTTCAGGTCGCATTGGGTGTGTTGGGTGGGCTCGCAGTGTTATGGTCCCTTCTCAAGACTGCAGGCTGGAAGAGGCGTACAGGAAGCTCTATAATTGACTTGCAGGTATAAACAGTTGGCAACCTCAAAGGGGACATTTCTTCCCCCCTTTAATGAGACCTTGCTATGATTCCCTGTGATTATAAGTATTCTGTTTCTTAAGCAAACTGAAATAATTTCTAGCCCAGCTGCATAGAGCTGTGCCCAGGAGTTAGGTTCACTTCAGGAAATAGGTTTTTGCATTTTTTTTGATTCTGATATTGTCATTCAGAATATGCTGTTGGTAAAAATAATGGTATTTACAGAGCTATTCTGATCAGTTGAGTGGACTTAGTTTTCAAATTATTTCGTCTTTGAACAAAGACTAGCATTTAGAAGTTTCAGGCAGTGAATATACCATAACTATATGACCACAGTAGAAAAGCTTTGTTCAAGGCTCTAGACTTTCCTGTGTGAGCTGCATAACATTTTATATAAATGTACATATGCATTACTTAATTAACTTTACAGATCTCTACAGTGTGTTTTTATAATTGCAGACAGTTTTCAAGTTCTTACTGTTTTATGCTGGAGACCTTGCCAACGTTTTCTTTATCATCACAGTGGGCACAGGGATTTATTGGCTTGTATTCTTCAAAGTAAGTGTTTTTCCAGATTTGAGTGCTACGAAAACCTATTAATATTACATATATTTTTACATGAAGATTAATTTTCTCTTTTTTTTTTTTTCTTTCTGGTCAGACTATTGAGGCAAGTTCTATATCATATTCTGTTTTGTGTGCTTAAATTTTGTGTTCACCTGTTTCTTTTCCTTAGGATTCATTGTACTTACAGTCTGCTTAATAGTCACTTAAAATATTTTACACATTTAAAATGATTTCACATTAAATATTGATCTTTTTCTGCAAAAGCTTACTCACTTTTAAGCACTTATTGTGTTTTTACATACGCCATGTGCAGTCTTTTCAATATAACTTCTCAATTACAGGCTCAGCAGTTTGTCTCTGTCCTTTTACCACTTCCATCTCAAGAAGAAGATTTTGTTACATACATAGCATGTGCATTTAGTTTAAAGGTAAATATTTTTTTCCTCACCATTAAATACATGTTAACATGCTTCTGTATATTTTAATTAAGCTTGATTTTAAACGTCTTGTACGGTTCATTTTATTAGTGTATAGACATAAACAATTATGTTCTTATAATAATTAAGTAATTTCCCCGTAGAAATTTATTTTGTGGAGTCGTAATAGGGAAACAAATGTCTAAAGAAGATTGTCTATGAAAAATCATTCTTTCAAGGATAAAGGTCTAAAGAAACCCAAATAAAATAGCATCATATAAAGAAGAAAGTGCTTTCTTTTGAAGCAGAATATAAATGCTGTCAGTTCCTGATTAAAAAGAAGATGGATTCAAATAACATATTCAAATATTTAGAATTTAGAGATCATTGTTCTGTCTTCATGGGACATGCAAATATTGTATTAGTTGTGGGTATTATATGGAATTCTATTGGAATTCATAATACAGGTTAATATGTTATGAGGAAACAGTTTTTTAGAATTTGTTACTTTGCTGTATTTTGTTTGTAATTTTGGACATCATCACATGACTTATCATTATTCCAAGCTTTTAAATTAAAAAAAAATATCGAAAGTTGATAATAACATTGCTGTCTCAAGTATAGTCAAGACATTATTTGTTATGTTTAATGAATGCAGTGATTATTTCTTCATCTTTCATGCTATTGCTGTCCTTACTTGTTATATTTCTCCTTTTTATTTTTCCTTAGGCTCTGCAATTCTTACAGTTGCTGATTTCACAACTTACTGTAGATATTTTCTTTATTGACTGGGAAAGACCTAAAGGCAAAGTTCTTAAGGCAGTTGAAGGTAACTCGAACTGTGCTTGTTTGTATAAACAGCTTTGGTTAAATTCTGGTATTACTCTCAAGTGTTAAATTTCAGAGCTTTATTGTATGTACTCTTTTTAGGTGAAGGTGTTATTAAAAGTGCTGCTGCACCTGTGAGCATATGGAGGACATATTTTATAGCAAATGAATGGAATGAGATTCAGACAGTGAGGAAGATAAATCCCCTCTTTCAAGTGCTTGCAGTTCTTTTTTTTTTGGAGGTAGTATAACTACTATGATGAATATTGTTGTTGTTGTTGTTATTTATTTTTTATGATTCACAATCAGAGTGTAACTTGAGAGTCTGGTTTTTAATTCTTGCATTCCCTGAGGTAACAGTGGATCACCTTCAAGTTCACTTGAAAACATGTAACTTAGTGAAATAATTATTTTAATGCATTTTTTTATTTTATATGTATGGATAGGTCATTGCAATATTTGACTAAGGAAGACTTAAAAAACCCCCAACCTTTAAATACCCTAAACACCCCTATTAGTTTTATTTGGTTGGGGTTTTTTTTAAGGTAATGAGTTACCCTAAATGGCTTAAGAGACTGATAAATCTGTGTACACACTCAATTCTTTATTTGCCTACTAGCTCCCTCCCATCACAGCTTACAGCTTTGTTTCTGGTTTCCTTCCTACTCGTTTGCTATAGTGCCCTTTTATAATGCAGGAAGTTCCGTTCCTGATGGCAGTATGCCTTCAGTTACAGCTTCAGGGTATGTGAGAAATTGTGCTTTACCTTTTAAAAAAACATTTTGGTTTGCTTCTTCTGTAGTTTAATAGTTACTTCTATTTTGGGGAAGTATTCTTAAAGCATGTAGCATATAGTTGTTTATGTGAGGTTCTTCTACATATGTTTAATACTTTTACTCAATTTTATACTTCTGTTTTTAAATTTTTCTTTTAAATTAAATAAAATTAAATGATATTAAATACAGTAAAATTAAATACAGTAATAAACCCCAAACTTTCTTCATTCACTACATCAGCATTTTTGCTGTTGGTACCTACAGGCCAGGATCAGCTTAGGTGCCTTGTTACAAGAAAAGAATGGTAGAAAAGAGAGCACGTATTCTTTTTGCGCTCTTCAACTACCTGAAGAGAGGTTGTAGTGAGGTGGTGTCAGTCTCTTCTCCCAGGTAATAATCAGTAGGACATGAGGAAATGATCATGAGGAAATGGTCAACCCTCCACAACTGTATTTCTGGTGCAGCTTCAGTTTTGAATGATTTTCACCAGTTAAGTGTTTCAAGACATAATGTTCGTCTCATCTTTTTATTGTGGACTTTTTCCAGATTTTTAGTTTAAAATAGATTCAGCCATACAGATAGTGGAGGGGAAATATATTTCTATTCAATAGAAACAAAAAAAATGAGTTTCTTATAGTTGCAAAACACATGAAAAATTTGTTCTAACACTGGAATATATAGGACCAAAGAGCTGAAATTTGACAGAAATAAGATCCCTATGCAGTCCAACAGTAGAATCCTGTGGAGTTTTTCAGTAAAAACCAATGTTGACTTTTTGTGAGATTGTACCAGGGTGAATTTATTTACTTATTTACTTTTGGTCTGTGTTTGGCCCTGCCACCTGTGAAAACTTTGCTCTTTCCTTGCCAAGTTATGGGAAAACAAGCACTGATAAACGGGAAAGTTGTCCTTGAAGAGGGCTTCTTGTATAAACTGTTTTAATTGGTATTCTGTGATTGGCTAGTTGTCCTCCGAGGTCGCTTGAAGGAGAGATTGAGGAGGAGGAGGAGGAGGAGGAAGGCTCACCCCCAGACTCAATTAAGAGAGACCCCCAAAACATACTGCACGTGCATGAGGGGGTTTCCGAAGTTCTCATGCGTGGGCAGAAGAGGTGTACTTACATAACCAGGAGGTGGGGCTGAGGGCCTCAGGCTGGGCAGTGCTGGCCACACCTGGGAGGTTGTGGCCACTCAATTAATTGTATAAAAAGCAGATAGTGCTTTCCTGGGGGGAGCTAACTTCACACCAAGGACAACGTTGCCTTTTGACGGGGACGCCTGCTAGTTTGTGAACTTACTGACTCTCCAAGGATGCAGCTTCTGCTATGGGTAATTATAGGTATGCTAGGTTGGTAAGATAACTTTATGGGCGACAGCTGGGTAACTGGGGAGGTCATGCTGGGGGCTTATTTCTTTCCTCCTTCCTCCCTTTTGGGTTTGTTCGTTTTGTTGGCCACCTTTTGGTAATAAATATTGGTTTTTGTTGAGCTTGACACGGTGTCTTGGTTTTCAAGCTTCAGTATGTTTCGAACCCCTCCCTAATACGGAGATTTAGCTGCATATGTTTTTAATTTATGTATCAACACATATATATACAGTTTATGTTTGTAATGTTTCTCAGTAATGACACTGGATCGCACAATTGAGCTCTATCATAGTGAAAATGCTACTATTCCTAGGTGCATTTTTCCTAATTTTTTTCTTACTTCCTGCTATGATGGGAACAACAGGATCCTAATTAGTACTATTCATTGCCTCCTATTGTTATATGGACCTTCTTACCCCTTCAGGTGGTAGGATTTTCAAACCTGGCTTTAATGGATGCTTCTTCCAGTCTTACAAGAAGCAGTGAGAGCTACGTAGCTCCTTGGAGCCGCATTTTAAGATTTGGTGTGTCTGTTGCACTCTGGATAGCCATTGCCATCCTACAGGTATGTGAAACACATGACATACTGAATTACCATTTTCAGACTGGTTCTTGGAAGCTAGAATATATCGCTAGGACAATCATACTGTTTGTCATAGCATTGGGTGCATTCTTAACTTCTTGTTTAGTTGCTTTAGCATAGTACACCCTTTGGACTCAAAATGAACCTTCTGAGCTAGAGACATCTTACTTCATGGTCAGAATTTTAAATCTCTCAAAGATGTGAATTTATGCAACTACTTTGTTTTATTTTAAACAACTTCCAAGGATCTCACAAGTTCAAAATGAAAAGCAGGTTATTGCTACAACTTTACTTCTTAGAAGAAGTATGTTAATTCCATTTCATAAAGGTCAATCCTTCTGACAGACTACAGAATTCTGTCATTTGTGAGTGTTAAACTGTGAAATTAATTGCTTAATAAAGTCAAATCTGGTGAACTAATACAAGAAAATTTGGTTGATTTATTTCAGGTTATATTTTTTTCTGTGTTTTATGAAAGATTTGTTGAAGATAAGATCAGCCAATTTGTTGACTTGTGTTGCGTGAGCAATGTAAGTATTTCTTTGTGTCGGTTGTACAGTGGCATTTTAAATTGAATAATGCCTAAGATAGTTTTAAGAATATTAAATAATATTTATTCCGTTAGTTTAATCAGATAGTATTAGCTAACAGCCAAAGTCAATGTTTCTTTCGGCTCACTTTATTGGTGAACTGTGCAAGATTTCAGTTAAACTTTAATTTGAAAAGGGTTCTGGAACCATAGGTTTATGGCTCAGTGGAATTAAGTAATGATCCTTGCTGTTGATAAACTAAACTTGAAGCTAGTGCGTGTTTTAGCTACATATAGATAAAACCGATCAGTAAAAGAGTTACTAAATATTTTTCTCCCGTATTTATTTTGGTACTTACCTACTTTGTATATGTGGAAGGGCTGGCTGGTCAGGCTGATCTTCATTGTGAATTCAGAAGTTCAAAAATAAAATTATTATTGTTAATTAAAGTATTCTTCTCTTCCCCTACCTCTTAGATTTCAGTGTTTCTCTTGTCACACAACTGCTTTGGTTATTATATCCATGGTCGCTCAGTGCATGGACACGCAGATACCAATATGGAAGAAATGAATATGAACCTAAAGAGAGAAGCAGTAAGTAAAATTATTAAAGTTTACACCTGCTCTGGTTATTTATCTTACATAAAAACCCTCAGACCTTTGCATTGTGCAACTGCAGTTGTGCATTACGTTACACCAACTTATGTTAGGCACAAGATAGCAGGTGTTGGTATGTAAATTTATGACTCAATAGTTGTTTTAACTAGCTGTTCATCTTCTTCACTATCTCCTCTCATTACTTCTTCAGACTTCAAAGATATGAAATTCCTGTTTCTCTAAAAAGTCATGTTTCATGTATTTAAGAACCTTCTTTTTTAATATTCAAGCTTTTCATAAGATCATGGCCACATTCAAAAAGTTGCATACCAAAAAGGTTTCATAAAGACACAAATCTGAAAAACTCCTAATAAAGAAACATCTACTCCACCAATAAATTCTTTTATTCCATCTCTTCTACTATGGTGATATAACTTCTTCTTTACAGAAATTAATTTCTATAAGTATTTTTTCTAGTTTGTCGTATGTTGTATCTTTGGTGCAAGATCAGGCAAATGTAAAATGTGTAATATATGTTCAGAGATTTTGCACTAAATGCCATGATATCTTGCATCTTTTTAGTGACAACTAAGAAGAAAGTACCTTAGATAAAGGATATTGCTATTTTAGTGATAATTGACAGAAAAAAAACATAACCATGTGAAAATTAAATCTCAAACACTGAAATATAGAGTAACCTTTTAATAATGTTTTTGACTTGTGTGTTCCAATAATTTTTTTCCTGAATGTTTATTTTAATATAATTTTGGGATAAATAGGGGTTGTCAAATTTTTCAATTTTGGGGAGTTTCTGACATTTTTTTCAATGTGACCCGAAAAACATATGGAAAAAGTCAGGAATCCAAAACAAACAAACAAAAAAGGCAGGACAAGTATAGAAAAAAATAATAAACCTAAAGCAAAGGTCTTCCGAGTGAATATCAGAAGATACATTAAAAGGTAATGAACTGAACACAGCTGAAAAGAGGAATATGACTTTGTGACAGCAGGGGTCAGGATTTTATGTCTTAAGAAAATGTTCCTGTACTAGAAACAAGAGTGCAATGGATTCAAATACTTAGAATTATTAAGTGCTATGTATATATGAAAGAGAGGAGATGAAAAGCTTTTGACTTGTTTTGGGTCTATGAATGACATTAATAATGTTAATTTATAATTGCTTTGATTGTATAGGAAAATCTGTGTAGTCAGAGAGGTTTGTTACCGAACACAGATGGGCAGACATTTCAAATTTCCATTTCAAGGAAAATGCGACTGCACTATGACTGGATTCATGAAACCCTAACGAGAGTAAGTGAAATACTGGTATTCTTTAAATGTTATTTAAAATATGTAATTTTTCTGCTGAAGTCATAGTCATGTTATATTTCAGAAACGTGGTCCTGCAAGGCTTTTGGAGTCATCTGCAAATACCTTCGAACAAAGCACAAGGGCATACAACACCATGAACAAATTTCTCGGTTCTTTTATTGATCACGTATGTATATTGACATTACTATATTAAGGAAAATATCATTATACTAAGTAGAGACTAAAAATTGTAAATCTGAAAGACAGTAAGACTGCTCTTAAAAACAACAAACCCTTTTTTGTTATGTATTTATTTTTGTCTTGGAATAGACCAGTTCATTCATAAAGGTCTAAGTAGCTGTGCCTCACTTTGTAGAAAGCACTTTTTCTTTGAAATCATGAAGCAAGAAGTATCGTTTTTCTTTTTCTTATAGGTTCATAAAGAAATGGATTATATTGTTAAAGATAAGTTGCTGCTTGAACGGATTCTTGGCATGGAGTTCATGGAACCAATAGAGAAAAGTATTTTTTATAATGGTAAAAAGATTTGTGGTATTTGTACTAATATAATAGAAATCCTATTTATAATTTGCTGTTTATCTGCAATGTTTTTTCTTTTAGGCAACTGAAAGGATACAGTTCATAATCATAAACACTGATAGAAATATATTGTTTGATATATTGTTTGTTGAGACTCTCATGTTTCCCAGAAGTTCAGATATAAATCAGGATTTCATGGCAGTAGGACATATGCAATTTTTAATGAAAATACACTGTTTCCAATCAAACTTGTATTGGACATTTTTCTGAAAAAGTAGTAAGAGGGGAAAGAATATGTTTTCTATAATTGCTTAAGTGTTCTTTTTTAGAAATGGTGCTTTTTGATAAGATAAAGAAGTGGATGATAAATGGTCTAGAGCACTTTGGCTATGAAAAAGGTATTTTAAGCTTAAAAGACCTATTTTTTTGGGCACTGTTAACCAATAAATAAAGATAATGCTAAGCTCTGAACCTCCTCCTAAGTAAGGCTTTAAGCATATGTTTTTATTATTTTGTTGAGTTGGGGCCAGAGCTAACAGTTTCTAGAAGTTTCAGGGACAAGACAGTTACATCTGTTTGTTGTTTAAAACTACCTTTTTAAACAATCTGAGATTTCCGGAGGGAATAGAGTTGCGTGTGGTAGGCAGGTTTTTCCTGTTGTTTTCCACCAGTATTACACCATTTTATAAGTGAAAAGGTTTGTGTTATTTTTCAATAGAAGGACACAATTAGCTCTATGTTGCCACAGAATGTCATTAACTAGCTATGGCTCTGAGTTCCCTTTTTCTTACCAGCTTTCTCAGCATGGACTGAAGAACTTCACAAACTTGCAACTCACAGCAATAGTAATTTTTAAAAAAATATTTTTGTTTTGTAGATGAAGGACACTCTTTCATTGATGTTCTCTACTATGGAAATGAAACAACGCTGCTCATTTTCGATATCCTGTTTTTCTCCGTTGTGGATCTGGCTTCCCAAAGTTTTGTTTTAGCAGCTATTCTGACATATTTGCAACAAGAGGTAAATTTCAACTTAAGAACAAAGTAATATTTTTTTAAATATGGGTCACCTTGGCAGTTTATGCAGTTAACTAGATAATTTAAGCAGTAAATTAGCAGTATGCAGTGACAGAAGATTATACTGAGAACTTATAAAATAGTTTTTTGATTTTTTTTGTCAAATAGGCTTGTGAGAAACTAATTTTGTTCACATGGCTGTCATGAATAAAGAGGTTACAAATAATTTTCAATAGAAAACACAAATATCTGTTAAAATTAATCACACATAATTCTATCATAATTTAGGGTGGAAGGGTAGTAGAAAATGTTTCAAAAATGCTAAAGTTAAGCACCTAGTTCACTCATATTATTTACAATTTAAAGATAATACGAGGTTATTATTTTATGTTTGATACTGAAACATACTGTTTTAAGTATTTCCTCATTCATACATGTTTTCTAAAATGTTCTTAGATATTTAGGTTTATCCGTAATACACTTGGGCAGAAGAATTTGGCATCCAAAACCTTGGTGGATGAAAGATTTCTCATTTAATTAAGAAGATGAAAAATTTCATTGAGGAGTTAATTGTGGAAATTATGTCCATGATCAAAGCATCTCTGATCTGCAGATTATTTGTACAGCACTTTTCAATAATAATAATGTAATGGGTTTGAAATGTGTTGGGTTTTATATTGTGTAGTAGTAAGCTTTATTTTTCAGTATTTACAAATTTATTTTTAATTTGTGAACACTGAGACATAGGCCTTCAAAAGGAAATGTACATGCAAATAAGACAGAAGTAAACTTACTGTAGTTATTTTTAGAATAAGATAACAATTATTTATTGGCTTTTGATAATATATGGACCAGTCACTTTGAGGCAAAAATTTGAGCATCGGTTGACAGGAGAGGTTGTCAACTCTGAAGTTGTCTGAAAATACCTTAAATCTTTTTTTTATTTTTTTTAAATTTATTTTGAGGTGTAATTGAGCAAACATATTTCCAGTTTTACACAGCACAGGATTTGTTCTGAATTAAGTTAATCTTTCAGGAGGACATTTTAAAGATCACTTATTTGTGGTGACTCCAGTTTAAAATTTTAACTTTTTCTTATTGTGTCATAGTATTGTATGCTTCTGTGTCTTCTCTTGGAGTTCACCATTGGTTTTTTTTGGGTGTGGCCTACACATGACATCCCATGTGTTTGAGATACAGTGGTGTTACAGTGATGGAGAAAAACAGGCCAGTTATGATAGAGCAGAGGAGATAGTTATCTGCATTTGGGGTTTGTTCCTGATCTTCTGTCATCTGATGCAAGATGCTCAGGGGAAAAACAGTAATTATTCTGTTCAGTTTTTCTGCACAAGTGAAGTGGAAGCAATTGTTCGATCATTTTAGAAGTGTTTGCACATGTGCTCATGTACCTTTGTCTCTCTTAATTTTCTGACTTTATTATCTTTGGATATAACACAAAGACCATAATTGTTTTACAGTCATCATATTTTTGGCATTTAGACAAGTTAATAATTATTCAAGTGTCACTTATTCAGTGTTAAGGGAGATTATGAATGGCTTTCAAATCACCTTAAAATGAGATGACTACTTCCCATTTTTACCACTGAAAAGTCTCCCTACCTTTTTTATACTTCAAATTTTTTCAATAAATGGTTAAACGTGAATAGTGTTTGCTGTTTTTATAGCTGTTACTTGCCTTTAGATGATTCAACAAGGGACTTGCACCAGCAAAAATACCATAAAAATGTAAGTCAACATCATCTCATGCTTATTCTAAAACAGAGACTCAAGATTAGTTGGACTTAGCAGGTTTCTGATGCAGACATTCTTATCTGAGTTGAAGCAGCATTGCATTTCAGATGGTTTTTGGCCTCATAAGGAAGGTGTTTTCATGTTGGTACCATGTCATATTATATTAAACCTAGAGCACCATGGACATGAATCTCACTATTGCTTTAAAGCAGTTGCTTTTGTTGTTGCAAAGCCTGTGTAACCTGCTAGTCCAATACAGTTGCCATTGACTGATAGAATGTGTCTGCCAGTAAGGCTGTGACCAGAGGGATAACTGAAGAGTTGATTTACAGTGGGACATCCATTTATTAGTGTGCAGTTTAGCACGGGCATTTCCATGTCATGCTTTCCTTGCTTTTGTCTGCTTATGCACACAACTCTTAGTTTGTTGGTGCACGCTATGCCTCAGAAAAGGTGTGAATACAAGACTTCTAACAGAGTGAAATGTCCACTATAAATAAAATTAGGGTTGTTGCTTTTATAGTGAATGTAGTAATTGAATTGTCCATTAGGTTCTGGATCTCTTTAAACAGCCAAAAATCATATTTCCACTGGCTGCCATGGCTGTAGGACCTCAACAGTTGTGAATTTCCTTCTTAGTGATCTACTGAGTGCCAAAATTAAGCTAAGGGGCCATCTGAAAAGAGTCTGCAGTAAGACATTCACAAGGCAAAGTTAGGCTCACATGGTGTCCTTGTGTTTCTTTGGTCGATATCCTTGCAAGGACTACTGCTTAGTTCTACTGCTAAGTCAGTGTACTACAGGAAATACAATCTTTCTCATGTGGCCGTATTTATTTAAGCCGGTGGATGTGACTAAAGGGGTGTAGAAGGTTGCTGCGGTCCATAACTGAGCACAGGTGATCCCAGTGAATTGCCCTAATGCTGGTCTTTGCTTACTGCACCTCCCAGCAATAGAACTGTGAGTCAGTGTCAACGGTCAAAGGGACAGGCTTTTCCTCTGAATTCTGGTGACGTGTTCACGGGCATGAATTTACTCCAGGGAACAGAACCACACCTCAAACAGACTTCTTCCAGAATGGTCTCATTTATGACCCACTGTAGTCAGAATAACTAAAACAAAGTAACTAGACCTGAGTAAACCAGCAAATGACTGCAAGCAAAGTGAAGATGCAGTTGTGCCATCTGTAGACGCAGATGCCATTTTTAGTTCGGTGCCAGCAGAAATGGAGACCTTTCAGCCTGTGGGCTCTCACGCTATACCCTGTTCTCAGTGCTTGTGCTAACTTGCAGTACAAAAACCTTGCTTGAGTTTGCTTTAGATACGCCTTTAATTATCTGCTTCTCAAAAGGGTATGTGGAAGCTTTAATGACCTTGCATTTTGCAAGAAATACTGCTAAAAGCAAGATAAATGATAAAATTATCTAAAAATGTCCTGTCAAAACAGTTCAGTCGCTTGGCCCCCACTTTCTTCTTAGTGTACACATTACTCTATTTTGTTTTATTTTTCCAGGTCATTTGTCTAAAATGTTAATATAGCTAACATAGACACTCTACATGATTTAGGAAATAATTAGAGAAGGCAAAAGCTCCATGAATTCGTAGAAGCTTTTCTTAATTCTTGCTGCCCAGTGAACGCTTGGAACAGGTTGACTGAGCTTTGTTCCCCATTGCTTGATATTTGTTCAAGAAATATCAAGCTTGATATTTGTTCAAGAAATATCTCTTGTGATTGTATTTCCAACAATTTTTTTCTTTTTTAAAATTATTCTGCATCTACACCGTGTTGTTCATATGATGAGTGTCTTTCAGGTTTCTGAATGTTTTATTTGGCCACATGGCATTTCAGACTATGCTGTCTGTTTCTCTGAGCAATAAAATAATTTTCAAAGACTGGAGACCTATTTTTGCACTTGTCAAATGAGTGGACCCAAGTCTGCAACATATTTTTCCTTCCATGATCATGACAGTAGGGCCAGAGGCTGCTGTTGGCTCTGCAGTCCAAAGAAGCTCTGTCAAGACAAGTGTAAGAAAGGGGGTTTGCAGGCAGTGCAACAACAGAGAGTATAGTTTTGGATAACCACAACTAATGGAGTGAATGGTTGTTTCTTGCCAAGCATCCTAGAGGTTAGATACCAAACAAATTATTTCCACAAATAATTATAACTTGTATGTACAGACAAGGTACAGTAATTTCAAGAATATGTTTAAAATTTACAGGTTTCATTTACTAGTGAAAGACTTGCCATTTTACTATAGCATTCATTTAAATGGTAGAGATGGGTGTGACTGAGGTAAATCCTGCCAGAGGTGAGAAGTGCAGCCAGCAGGATGCTCAGATTACACCCTGCCCGTCAGCTTTCTGCAGTGTGGGCAGCAGGCAATGCTAGCCAAGCCGAGCTCGAGGGGTTTGTGTTGGTTTTCAGAGTGGGAGCATATGAGCAGTGGGTGACAGGGGGAGGGTGACATTGTGACATGATCCTGTGAAAATCACAAGTAGACTGGAATGGTGGAAGGGAGGTAACTACCAAACTTCTCAAAACTGGTCTCCCTCAACACCACCTGCTTTGCCTTACCTTTTTTTCTCTACCCAGTACCACACCCTTTTCTCCTGTGCCTTTTCACCAATTAAAAGCACTAATCCCCTGTCTGACTCTCCTGGACCCCAAGCCAGTGCCTCCACGCAGTGCCTGGCACAGCTTCCTACTTGACCCCACCACTGTCAGCTGAGGTGCAGATCCTGCCCCTCCCTTCCTGCAGGTCTGGCAGCAGGGCTCTCGACCGGGGCAGTTACTGCTTTTCCCTGCTTCCCTGGGCAAATGAGCAGAGAGGTGGCCTTGTCAGGAGAACGCTGTCAAGCTGGGCAGCACTGCGTGCCAAGGTGTGCCTCGAGGTAGCAGCAAGGTTCTTTGGTGAGAAGAATGAAAATCCAAAAATAGTATTAAAAATCAAATACTTCAAAACTTTGAAGTCCCAACTTTCATGTATGTGTAAAGGGAAGAAGGAATGAAAGCAAGACATCTCCAAAAAACCCTGCTTTTGAGCACTGGCTTCCTCCAGCTTTGCCTCTTCTATTGCCTACATTCCATCTCCACCCCAGCACACCCAGTTTTCTCATGTGACTCCTACTACACCACAGCAGACAGATGACACCTGCCATGGGTGGCTTGGAAAGGCCACCATCCTTGCTGGCCTGCCACCGGCTGCCAAAGTGAACAGGCCCTGCAGGCAGGGTGGCCAAGCTGCTGCCAG